AAGAGAGAGATTTAGACTCGACGCTCGGTACTTAACATTGATGCTCAAAGAGTAAAATATCGGGTACTGGCAGCGAAGACATTGCGAAAGGGGTTCGCAGGCTCGAGTCTTAGGTTATCAATCTTCTGTTTATATCGTAAACTATATGCTGTGCCGGATTAAACGAAGAATGGGTCTTGTTTGTCGATGAACGAATGTTATTGTGAGCAAAAAAGGACCAATGTAAATGTACTTTTAGAAGTTTCAATTGGTTTTGTAATAACCAAATTTCATAGTTAATGAGGAAAAAACAGTATTCGATGTATTGTTTGGCATTTTCAAATAGCAATTCTGTTTCTTACGTTTTGTAACAGTGATGGCGACCGAGTCGAGAGAGTCGATAAGTCTCGTCCTAGTGATGGAATAGCTATCGATCTCTAGTTAAAAAACGCTAAGAAAGCGTCTAATGCCAATGACGAGCTTACCGGTCGCAACATCGATTCACCATTTGGTGGGAACCACTGAAGCGGTTCAGGATATCAAATATTCTTTGCAATGCGTCTGATGAGAAGAGTTCCGAAGTCTGGGAGGGGGCAGGATTTTTTTGGGTCACTTGGTTAATTAAACAAAATCAAATGGCAGCTGGCTGGGTTGGAGGAGTGCGGCGTTAGCGTTCCTGTGTGCTGTTTCGTCATTCGCCAGTATTGGTGACGGAATGCTAGCCAAAACCTACAACATCCGGAGAAGGCGGGCCACTACAGTTCTCCTCCAGACAGTTTTCCGGTGATTTGGGTTGCCGTATTTTTCGGCGTGATTTCTTCCGATTCAGAACCAGAACGACATAGCCGGAGAGTAACGTAACAAACTGACCACGGTCAGGCGGGCGATCTTTCCTTGCTCTTCCTGGCACTTTTTTTACGCCACTTACATGCACTACACAGCTACGCACTCGAGACTATTGAGAGGGGGAATTTGAGCTTGCCCAAGGCTTTGGAGCCCCGCTGGTGAGGAGACGCTTGCGTCGCACCTGATCAGTGTAGAAGCGCGGATTTTGCGATACGGACTCATTCGCGATGTTCGATTGTGTGTGTGTTCTTGGCAATGAGTGATAGGATACGCTGATGTATGATGACGGAGGTATTGGTGCTGGGGCGTAATAGGATAGTGGTAATCCGACGATGTGCAGTTGTGGATACAGGATCACTGGTGCGCATGATAGGAGTGGGCCGGATGATGAAGAGAGACTATCTCGGGTGTCGCCTTGCGAGGTTGTCATTGTGACACGAGATGATTGTCATTTGTTGAGGATTAATGGTCGGTTTAGGCGCATAACGGCGACTAGGTGTAGTGTCGAGGTTGAGTTATCTCCCTGACTTCCCATTTACTTTTAACGGCCGTTGGGACATCGGGGTCTGGCACTTCCAACTACCACTTAAAACAAAACACAAACCGCGGCATGCAACTTCTTTGCTAGTAAAAAACCTCTATATAGTATTACATAAGACATTATTATTATTATTATTTATTTATTTTTATTATTATTATTTAATAATTATTTTATTATTATTATCTTGCGTATTTTAGTAATTATTATTGATTGTTGTTATTATTTATGGTATCTTGTATTATTCATTATTGTTCATGTGTATTATTTCAGTTAGTGTTATGATAAATTATGACGTTATTATTATTATTATTAGTTATTATTATACTAGAGCTTAGTACCGGATAATACTCACAGTCGAGATGCGAACATAGGATCTCTACCGAACACGACGACATTCCCAAAAGGTTTCTCAGGCCGTGTTGTCATTCCGGGAAATTTGGTCGAGGCATTAGTACGTTGGGCGGGGAGGGAGGATGCGAGCCAGTAAGCCATGGCGGGGGGGAGGAGGGGCTGTGCCGAGGGCCTCCTGCGCATCTCGCGTGCTGGCCCGGGCGCGCGGGCGGGCAAGCGGGCGTGGCCGCGGAGAAAGCGCGCGAAAGCACGCGAGGGCACGCCAGAGAGGCAGCCGCATCGCCCCGGGCGCTGAATGCCACGCCCACCTTGCGACAGTTGGCCGCCGAATAAATAAAATAAAATGTTGGCCAAGACCACGCCATTAGTTCGTTTATTTGGAATACCGCCAACCACAAACCACCAATTAAACAATAAACGAATGACAAAACCCGCAAAGTTGGTTCAGGGCTTTACTTACGATGCGACAGTTGGCCGCCGAATAAATAAAATAAAATGTTAGCCAAGACAACGCCCTTAGTTCGTTTATTTGGAATGCTGTCATTGAATAATCACCAATTAAACAATAAACGAATGACAGAACGGGCAAAGTCGGTTCAGGGCTTTAATTGCGATGCGACAGTTGGCCGCCGAATTAATAAAATAAAATGTTGGTCAAAACAACGCCCTTAGTTCGTTTATTTGGAATGCTGTCAATGAAAAATCACCAATGAAACAATAAACGCATGACAAAAGCCGCAAAGTTGGTTCAGGGCTTTAATTGCGATGGACAGTTGGCCGCCGAATAAATAAAATAAAAAGTTCGCCAAAACCACGCCCTTAGTTCGTTTATTTGGAATGCTGTCAATGAAAAATCACCAATTAAACAATAAACGAATGACAGAACCCGCAAAGTTGGTTCAGGGCTTTAATTGCGATGCGACAGTTGGCCGCCGAATAAATAAAATAAAATGTTGGCCAAGACAACGCCCTTAGTTCGTTTATTTGGAATGCTGTCAATGCAAAATCACCAATTAAACAATAAACGAACGTCAGAACTGGCAAAGTTGGTTCAGGGCTTTAATTGATGTCACTGCAGTTCGTCTGACAGGAAGGTCCCAAGGTTCTAGTCCCAACGGTGGCAGGGTTTCCCACACTAGCTACAAAACTAGCTCGAATTCAAGCGCTGCCTGGAGGAGAAGTCTAGTGGCCGCGCTGTTCTGATCAATAGTTTGGCGTGGTTTGTTAAATCAACATCAGACGAATGCCGAAGCAGTACTGTAAGAAACGAGCCATAAACCGCGCGCTATCTTTCCTTTCTCGTCCTTTTTCTATCCTCACTTCTTACTTACACTTATTTATACTTCACGCATTTCGAGACCAGTTGAGAGCAAAGAGCTTGCCCTGACTGGGGCGATGTCACGCTGGTAGGAGATACCTGGTTGGGAAAACAGCAAGCCGACGTGTAGGTTGACAGCGGATCTAGCCATCCAGCGGAAAACGATAATCGGCCCCTTCCGCTATAAAACATGTATACTTACGGGACTAATGACCGTAAGCAGTAATCGATCAATCAACCTGGATCCCTACCGGAATCTCCATCTTCCAAGAATCGTTCCATTCATGACGTTTTGCTTTTTTTGCGTTCCGCTTTCTTCAGGGATGAGTACGGCCACGATCACCTTCCGCGATAAAACAAGGACTACTATTACGGGATAAATAATCTTAGCAGGTGACGCGCCCAGAAACACCAATGAATCAATCCGGATCCGTATCGTACCGGACTCTTCAACTTCCAAGAATCGTTCCATTCATGAAGTTTTGCTTTTGCTTTGTTCCGCTTTCTACAGAGATGAGTACGGCGACTGCGCGCCTTGCTCAATAAAACATGCACAACTCCTACGGGGATAATGACCTTGGCGGTTGACGCATCACGAAACACTAATCGATCAATCAATCCGGATCCATATTGTACTGAACTTTACTTTTTCCAAGAATCGTTCCATTCATGAAAGTTTGCTTTTGTTTCGTTCCACTATAGAGATGAAACCGACCACGGCCACCTTCCGCAATAAAAAAGCACTACTATTACGGGACAAATAATCTCAGCAGGCGACGCGCCCGGAAACATCAATCAATCAATTAATCCATCAATCCGGATTCATAACGTACTGGACTTTCCTTTTTCCAACAATCATTCCATTCGTTGAAGTTTTGCTGTTAGAGTTTCGTTCCACTCTCTATAGAGATGAGCCCGGCCACGGCCACCTTCAGCGAAAAACATGCACTACACTTACGGGACTGATTACCTTAGCCATTGAAGTGTCCGGAACCCCCAATCAATCCGGATCCATATCGTACTTGACTTTCCATTTTCCAAGAATCGTTCCATTAGTTACGTTTTGCTCTTAAGAGTTTCGTTCCGCTCTCTATAGAGATGAGCTCGGCCACGACCACCTTCAGCGAAAAAAATATGAACTACACTCACGGGACTAATTACCTTAGCCATTGAAGTGTCCGGAACCCCCAATCAATACGGATCCATATCGTACTGGACTTTCCATTTTTCGAATTCCGAATTTCTTTCCAGAATCGTTCCATTAGTTACGTTTTGCTGTTAAAGAGTTTCGTTCCGCTCTCTATAGAGATGAGCCCAGCGCCGGCCACCCTCCGCGACAAAACATGCACTACAATTACGGGACTAATGACCTTAGCCGTTGAAGTGCCAGGAAACACCAATCAATCCGGATCCATATCGTACTTGACTTTCCATTTTCCAAGAATCGTTCCATTAGTTACGTTTTGCTGTTAAAGAGTTTCGTTCCGCTCTCTATAGAGATGAGCTCGGCCACAGACCGCCCGCGGCAATGGTCGGGGCCCCCTGGCACCGCCCCCGCCCCCGCCCCCGCCGTTCCGCGCTGCCCAGGTGGCCGTGGCGGCGCGGCGAGAGAAAGTCCCCCTCCCCTCTGACCTGGGCACGGCCGATGGCCGCTTCTACGAGATGGCCCAAGGCGCCGCGCCGTGCCGAGCCGCGCCGCGCCGCGCCGTGCCGTGCCGTGTAGTGCCGCTCAGCGTGGGTCAACGCCTGTTTGACTGCGCGGCACGACTTCGCTCGCGCGGTCCGCTTGTGAAGATGCAAACTCGAAAGCGTGTACTTCGATTTTTTTTTAAATTTCCGATAACATTAAGTCACTTGCCTTATAAAATGAATATTTTTAATTAATTCGCGAACATCCTTCTCAATGGGGCTCAAATCCCCAGAAATGTTCCTTCCACTGTTAAAAATATTCATTTTATAAGGCAAGAGTTGTAACAGTGGCCTAATATCATTGGCCACTTAAAAAATCGAAGTATTGGCTTTTTATTTATTTAATTACTTACGTCAAAAACAGTTAAAAACTGTGTGTGACGTGCTGCGGGGAGAAGTTAATTTGAAATTACATTTATCTCCAGAAACAAAACAAGGGGCCATCTTAGCATTTGCTCAAGGATCAGGGAAACTGGACGAAAACCTCATCGAGATGGGGTCATTGACCCAGAAGCTAAAGTACAATACTTGTTACAGGTTCTTACAGAATTACAGGCTTCCGCGGCAGGAGTCAGTAGCTGCTTTGCGCTCCGAAAAACGACCTAGGCAGAGGTGCCAACATTTCGGCCCTTCTCTTTGCCACCTTCCTCAGGGCTAAATGCCGTTTAAATGTTAGTTCCCTGCAGAAGTTGGTCAAATACATACTTTGTCTTCCTCGGCCAGAGACTATGTACTTGGCTGCCCGGGAGACGCCGCGTTCTAGGACCATATGCCAATGATTTAGGTCATTCTGCGACCTTCCTCAGGGCTGAATACCTTTTAAATGTTTCCTCCCCATAGCGGAGTAAGCTTAGGCTTCCATGCCGGTATTAGTATCCGGGGCTTGGCTGTCCGGTTGACGCCAGGTCCTAGAAAGATGCCAACGTTTTGGCGGTTACATTGCGACCTTCCTGAGGGTGAAATGCCTGAGGAAGGTCGCAGCATGATGGCCGAAGCATTGCAATCTGTGACCAGGACGTGGCGGCTCTAGGACGGAAAATAGAAAAGATGCACATTCATCTAGGAATATCAGTTTTCAAGAAAATCAGCCGAACGGTTTAGTCTCTAGCTTTAACCAGAGACAGACAGTCATTTTGACGTCAATCGATGTTTGGGTATCAAATACCTACAAAATATGGATTCTGTCTACACTACGTGATAGAGGAATTTTTATCCAGTAAAGTGGTAAAAGGATTTATCCAGTTTTTCGTTACCAGGGCCCGGCAATAAGAGTTTTCTGCCAAATATTTGCCGTTTTTCGGCTCACGATTACGTAACTTTCCCTTCTTACGACATAACTTCGCAAGAGCGAGAAAATAAAAGCCCTTCTTGCCAAACTTCAAGCTCTTCATATTAGTCATCTGTATCTGTATATTAGTGATCTGCGGACTCAGAACAGCTATGACCACCTTATACTAGGTCTGCCTAGAGCTCTGTAGCTCTTAGGTTTATATACGAGCTAACTTTGATAGTCCATTTGGTTTCATCATGTTTATATATTGTTACACAAGTTAGTTTAACTTAATTGATTTGAATTAATGTATTATTTTACGTGGCGAAACTCGGTGCATCAGGTCCGCTCTTCCGTCTGACCACGCAAAATTCGCAACGCTCCTTTCACCAACTAGCAGGGGAAGGAGGTATTTCTTGTGCGAAAAAACATGTGATTTTGAATTTAGCTCAGAGGCATCATTTAGGCTTGAGGATCTTTTACATCTATTAACATGGGAGAGCCGGCTTTACTTCCCCTACGAAGGAAGTCGTACGAAGGGTTTTTTCGCCCTTAAAAATCCACGGCTTGGATCGGCGAACCCAAGTTGGCGGGTTTAAGCCAGTCCGATACGGGTTTTAACCAGTCCGATACGGGTTTAAACCAGTCCGATACGGGTTCAAACCAGTCCGATACGGGTTTAAACCAGTCCGATACGGGATTAAACCAGTCCGATACGGGTTTAAACCAGTGCGATACACTAACTGTTACACAATCGCCGCGCGTTTAATCTCATGTACTATAACTAAGTGTTGTGTTGTGTGTGTGTGCAGGTGTTGTCGCTGTGTGTGGCGGTGGCGGTGGCGTGGGCGGGCGCGGCGTCCGCCGGGGTGGATGTGGATGTGGTGCGGGCGGTGGAGCTGCAAGCTGTGGAGGAGCCAGCGTCCGCAGCGGGCGATCAAGCCCTCGAGGAGCAGCGCGCGGTAAGCACACCCCCAACTAAGCAGGCGACAACGATGGCGTCTAAAGAATCATGTTTTTGTAACAACGTCGATGGATTTAACATCAATCCTTTGAAGCTGATGTTTTTTGTTTGAGGTTACTACGTGGTCGATGTTTTTAATTTTAAAAAAGTTCACCATAACAAAATGTTCTTCTTTCTTGATAAGGGTTGGGACCCAGTTGCCCGTTTCGAGACTCAGAACAGCTCTGATCACCTCATTCTAGGTTTGCCTACATACCTGTAGCCCTTAGGTTTATATAAGAGACCTAACTTTGGTAGACTATTTGGCTCCATCCTATTTACATATTGGAACCATATCCGTTGGTATGTTTTAATGCCATTTACTACGGCATCAATATTTAACCTTGACCTTATGTCTTGGTTTGGAACTTCAAGGTTAGACCCAGTTGATCTCTTAAGAAATTTATTTGGGAAGCATCCAATCTTCTTCCATTTTTTTCTTACAGTCTTCGGTTCACTAGTTATGCAGAAAATGTGTTGAGATATCGCATTGTGAAATCTCATTAGGGCGCTAGTACACACATTATTTTTAAAATGCCTCTTCATAAACACATTCAGCTCATTGTATTTACGTACATGACAAAATTCTATATTTTATATTTTTTTATATTTTATCATTTTTAGTCATCCACTAAATGAATATTGTTCAAAAATTGTTGTGACATTGATGTCCATGTTTGAAAAAAACTTCGATGAGTTTAAGATAATTTTTTGAAGCGGAGTTGTTTAACGTCGTTTTTTTAAAATGTTTTTAGGTGGTCAATGTTTCTCAAGTGAAAAAAATTTCATGAAAATAAAATTCTATAATAATTCTGAGATATCCCCAAATTTAATATTCGACAGACCAGAGAGACCAACAGTAAACAATACATTAAGTACAGTTTTTCCTCAATATAGAGGTCATAATTATTTTTTAATTATAAATTTGATTATCGACAAAGAAACCAGAGACATCATTATAAAAAAAACTCATGCTTATGCTTCGCTCAGTCGGGTAATTAATCAAAAGTTAAATAAAAATAAAGGAAAAATTCTAAAAAATTGAGCTTATGTATCAATTCAAAAATTTGAATTATCCAAACGTTTGAATTAGCCAAACGCTTGAATTATCCAAACGCTTGAATTATACAAACGTTTGAATTATCCAAGACTTTAGATTACCCAAAAGTTTGATTTTCTCAAAATTTTGAATCATCTACAAATTCGAATTATCCAAACGTTTCATTTATTTCAAACTGATGTATTCAAAAGTTATATTTATTAAAATGTTTAATTATCCCAAATTTGAATTTAAAAATCGTTAGAAATATCCTAAAGTTTAAAATATTTAAGGTTTGCTTGTTTTAAAAGTCGTACCAAAATTTGAAACATGTACAAGTTTGAATTAAGCAAAAGTTTGAATTATATTAAAGTTCAAATTACTCAATGTTCGAATTACCCAAAAATTAAAATTACGTGAAGGTTCCTATTACCCAAAAGTTTGAGTTATATAAAAGTTCAAATTATTCAAAAGTTTGTATTATATAACAGTTCAAATTACTCGAAACTTCGTATAACTGAAAAGTTAAAACTACGTAAAGGTTCCTATTATCCAAAATTTTGAATTATATAGAGGTATATAATTCAAACTATAGAGGTAAATATAAATGTCTCGATGATAATAAATATAGATACTATAATAAATATAAATAATAAAATATAAATACTATAGAGGTAAATATAAATGTCTCGATGATAATGCAAAATGTCCTATTCTCCACACGTTGGTACCGCTGTCTCGCAGGTGGGCAAGCGCGGCCTGGCGGGCGAGGTTGGCAGCGCGCCGGGGGCGACAGCAGTGTCGAGCTCCGGCGTGCAGCTCGCCCTGGGCGGCGGTCACGCGCCCGCCGCCGTGGTCCTGCAAAACCACAACCACCACCACCAGCCCATCCCCATCTCGCAAACGGTGGAGGTCACCAAACACGTCAACGTGCCCGTCGTGCGGTTCATCGGCGTTCACGTGAGTACCCCTCCCCCGCCATCTTGTTCAACTACCTCGCGCAGTCCCCGCTGTAGCCAGGCGTTTGGTTCATCGGCGTTCACGTGAATACTCCCGATGCCATCTTGTTAAACTACCTCGCGCAGTCGCTGCTGCAGCCAGGCGTTCGGTTCATCGGCGTTCACGTGAGTACCTCCTCCCTCCCCGCCATCTTGTTCAACTACCTCGCGCAGTCCCCGCTGCAGCCAGGCGTTCAGTTCATCGGCGTTCACGTGAGTACCCCTCCCCCGCCATCTTGTTCAACTATTTCGTGCAGTCGCTGCTGCAGCCAGGCGTTCGGTTCATCGGCGTTCACATGAGTATCCTTCCCCCGCCATCTTGTCCAACTACCTCGTGCAGTCGCTGCTGCAGCCAGGCGTTCGGTTCATCGGCGTTCACGTGAGTACCCCCTCCCCCGCCATCTTGTTCAACTACCTCGCGCAGTCCCCGTTGCAGCCAGGCGTACAGTTCATCGGCGTTCACGTGAGTACCACCCACTCCATCTTGTTCAACTACCTCGCGCAGTCACTGCTGCAGCCCAGGCTCATGCACAGACCTCCCAACGTGTGTTACAGTGCGCTCGGCAGTTGCACCTTCTGGTGGGAGTGCTACCAACGGAAATTATGTTGGTAGCACGAATCGCAGGTTATAACAAGTGAAAACGTAAATACCGTACTCACCACAACCAAAACAGTCAATGGAAGAGTTGCCCCACCCCTTTTTTTAATAAGCTTTGTTTTTTGGTTGCATGAACTTCAAGGCGATCCAATATACAATTCTCTACAGTGTATTAAATAAATATACATCAGTTGCCTCCTTGTTTACCAGTGATCTGGCAATTACCAACTGTTAGTAATCATAGAGCATTTTGATATTTATGTTGGTAATACTGGAAAACTGATCCGACAGCGCCATCTTTGGCGAGTGTCTTTTGTTCCGAGTTCAGATTGAGCTCAGTCGTCAAGTACATTTCAATGTAAAAACATCTAGCAATAAAGATCAAAATATTAAGCAAAAGGCAGTTTTGAATTTCATTTCAAGACATCATCATTAACACCAACATAAATGCATTTTTTTAACTGGAGGCCCTGACTCCGCTTAGGGCGAAAATCAGACATCACAGCAGACCCCGCAAAAGACATCACTAGCGCCCGGATGTTCTGGCCTTTATTTTACCTCAAAGAGGCTGGCAAAAAAACATTTACTTTTACGGAAAATGGCTTTCAAAAATGCATTTATTCTAGCTAAAGTAGTGGTGCAAAAAGGCATGTAAACAATGAAAAATTAATTTTAAAGGGATAAATGTAAAAAAATTAATAATTAAAATGATTCGACGTCCATGTAACCACCCAAGCCGTTCCGTAGCGTACCAAGCCGTACCGGTACCCAACCGTACCGTTCCGCTCTCGTGCAAATTTTTCTTTGCCGACCCCGTGTTTTAATGTTTTTTATTCTGGTTCATAGATTGTTTTAGCTTCTAGCTTATGAGTCGAACAACGGTAAAATCGAGCGGCGACTTCACAGCTGCCGCATGAATAATAAAAATAACCGACATTATATTACACGAAATTGAACAAAATCTCCGAAAATTGAATTACATTGTATTGATCCATAATTTAGCACTAAAAAAGGTTTTTATAATCGTGAATAACAGAGTATTTTCTTTATTTATAATAAGAGAAATGCAAAAATAATGCAGATATTAGAAAAACTCCTAAATTGTTGCTGGTCTTTCACAAATGCCGCACAAGTGCGGTGCACAGCTAGCACTAGGGTTCACCCTCATCACCCACGCCGTTAGCAGGCCCTTACTCCTCTACAGACCTCGCGCAGTCCCTATTTTAGATCCTGCAATGGGCTCCTGAACATTATCATACGCGTTCCATGGCGAGAAAACTTTCGATGCGAACGGTCAAAGACCAGCAGTTTGGCGCTTCCAAAGATAAACCCTATTGCAGACCCTATTGTAGATCCTGCAATGGGCTCCTGAACATTACCATATATTCCACCCGATGGGTTTAGCTCAGAGGCGGCATTTGCCACTGTGTCTGCAGCGACTCTGACCGGAGATAATAGAAAGTTTTTCCAAATTTCCTTTGTATCTTTTCCAAAATGCCAGTTTGTGTACGTTAAACCGTGGGTGATATTCTGTTCTTGCGAAATCGTCAGTGTATTCCGGTCAACGCAGAAAAACGTGCTTCATGGCGAGAAAACTTTCGATGCGAACGGTCAAAGACCAGCAGTTTGGTGCTTCGAGAGAGGAAACTTCTGCGAATAAAAGCGATGGCTCTGGGGAAGCAGCGAAAGTTACTCTTGGCGCAGTGGCGTTGACTTCCTAACACTGTTTCATAATTTCGTTTGCAATTTCGTGTGCTTGGGATTTTAAGACGAGACTGTGTTTAAATCTATGATTTTTTTAAATATAATTTTTCCGGATTATGGTAATTTTAAAAATTATTACATTTTGCGCATGTGAAGACACAGCATTTGTTATCGTTTTGTCATTTTTGGTGGTCATTTAGTTTAGATTTATTTAGTAAAAAATACAGTAAAAAGTGTGACGTATGATGGAGAACATTATCTGCGCACGTTTTCTTGAGTTCCAGAAGCCCTTCTCGTCATTTTAATTCTAAATAGTTGAAAGATGAGTAAAAGTTTAAAATAAATAAAAACTAAATTCACAAATAAATTTTAAAACTAGATTTTGAAAATGAATTTTTGAAATCGCAAAATTAGCAATATTTTAAAAAAATAGACATTTTCGTTCCCGTGTTATAGAAAACTTACTTGCATCGGTAAATGAATTGCAAGTATGATTTTTTTGCATTGCTAACAAAATAGTTTAATAAAATTATTAAAATAAGTTATAATAAGTAATAAAGTAATTAAAATATTTTTTCTAATTTTTCTATTCGACCTTCTTTTCCTCCAACATTTTTGGACAATTTTTCCAAATATTTTTGTTATGAAAGAATGTTTCTACCTAAAGCGGTCTGACGAAAGTACACTGTTTTCTCTGTGGCGTTCACAGATTTATCTGAACACTTGAGCATCGTCTGCTTCTTAGCACTGGCGCTAATAATTGAAGTTTTAGCCCTACGCATACCCTGAAAAAAAACCGCTTTTACTAGCAGTTGCCTAAAATAACTTTTGAGAAACCAGCATCTAAAGCTCGTTTTACGTGGTTATTTTTTCGTCGGTGTAGTTAAGAGGCAGATCAGATGTAATTTGTACAGAATATGACGCATATTTCATTTTCGGTGTGGATATCATCTAGTTTGACTACCGCGCCCCCGACGTCACTTTTCTCTGGTTTGCTACGCGAATGATGAGTTTCTTTCTTTGGAATAGTTTCGAAAGCGTTCTAATGTGCTGAATTGTAATGCGAAGTGATTAATTAGTGGAAACTGAAATGTGATGAGTTGAAAATATATATGTAAATAGTATCGCGATGTTCTAATGTTGTCTCGTTCCGTTAAAATAAACTAACTTAATTTGGTACCATAGGTGCAATGTTCAACTGTTTGATCTTCAGCGCTTTTTGCGGCGTACAGAGGAAAAAATTTCATTACGATTGCATACAGAACTAGTGGCGCTAAACAGTACGTACTTTCTCGCGAGCATGTTTACACAAAATTATGCGAAAATGACGCAAATTTTCGAAAAATTGTATTTACTTTATTTGAAAATTCATCTTAAAGGAACAGATTTGACTCTGGGAAAATGTCTCTATCTTTAATATTTAACTTGTAGGAAGACTCCGAAAACATTTTGAACTTCTGCAATTTTCGAAAAATCCGAGTATTGAACAAACATGAGACGTGGACAATTCTCTTGAACGTCCTTAACACAATCCAACAATAAAATTTAATCACAAACGATGGAGCCATTTTTTTTGATAATTTTGAAAAGGTCCCAGGTTTTTCATGTTGAGATTGTGAAGACTTGAAATTCCGCACCATATTCCACAGCTGGAGGACAATGTAAAATCACGTGTGATACGTACGTAGGGACAAAAATCAATCAATACGACTTTCTTTTTGATCCCATCCTAAAATTTTTATAATGATTGCATGCGGAAAACGAAATAACCGTGCAAGACGCTGCAATGCAATCATCCGGTTTCGATACCGAAACAGTCAAGCGTAGAAATGAACGTCCCAATTTCAATCTTCTTTCTACATAAAAACAATGAAAAACCGATCACGTAAAACGGGCTTAACGCGACTTTGAGTATCATCATTATTATAGTAGTAGTAGTAGCAGTATTATTTTATATTTATTATTTTATTATTATTTTATTACTACAAGTTTTCAATATGTTAATGAAGTATAGCTTTTCATTTTTGCCTGTTGCCAACTGCCAACCTGTTATAATTTATTTTATATTTATTTCTTAGTTTAGATATGATTATGATTTCTTTTTTGCCTACTGAGTTTCGTTGGAAAAAATCTAAATTTTCAGTAGAAACGGCTCACGCAGCGTACAGTAACTAGCAAACAGAACAGATGATTGGGTGAACCGTTGTCAACGGTAATACGAAAAAAAAGTAACAAACAAACGTACAATGTAACACACCCCTCTCTGACAAATACAAAAAGTACTTAGAGAGGGTTTGGAGTGTACTGTACTAAAACAAATTTTGATGAGAAAGATATTTTCGCTAAAAGGTTAGAAACGTTATGAAGTCAAGCAAAATTAGTATTCATTCTGCCGGTTTTAAGGTTTTTATGGTGATGGTTTTTGTTGTTTTAAAATTTTTATATGTAAATAGTAACACCTGAACACTGTCAATCTAATGTAAGTCTTTGGAAAACAAATTATTATTATCATGCAAGTCAAGAAAAAATTAGTATTCTTTCTGCCCGTTTTGAGGTTTTTATAGTGATGGTTTTTGTTGTTTTACATTTTTTATATGTAAATAGTAACACCCGTACACTGTCAATGTAATGTAATTCTTTAGAAAACAAATTATTATTATCATTATCATGCAAGTTAAGAAAAATTAGTATTCTTTCTGCCTGTTTTGAGGTTTTTATGGTGATGGTTTTTGTTTCAAATATTTTATATGTAAATAGTAACACTTGTACACTGTCAAAGTAAAGTAATTCTTTGGAAAACAAATTATTATTATTATTATTATTATTATTATTATTATTATTATTATTATTATTATTATTATTATCATTATCATAATCTTCATCATCATTACCATCATCATTACCGTCGTCATTATCACCATCATCATCACCATCACCATCACCATCATTATTATTATTATTACTAATAAGATTTTAATTCAGTATCTAGAGCGCACGTGATTTTACGCCATTTCGCCATTTCGCAGGTGCCGCACCCCGTGGCCGTGCCGGTGCCGCACCCGGTGGCGGTGCCCATCCCGCAGCCGTACGCGGTGCAGGTGGCCGTGCCGCACGCCGTGCCCGTGCCGGTGGTGCGCACCATCACCATCCCGGTGGAGAAGCCCGTGGCCGTGCCGGTGGAGAAGCACGTGCCGTACCCGGTGGAGCGGCCGGTGCCGGTGCCGGTCGAACGCCACGTGCCGGTGCCGGTGCCCAAGCCCTACCCGGTGCAGGTGCCCGTCTACAAGCACATCCACCACTACATCACCACGCACAAGGGAGGGTGGCACTAGGTGCGGTGAGATTGCTCGTTGTTGCACATCCGTTGAGGTGAAAGTTGCTTGGCAACGGTTAGGTATAAGGATACGGTTAGTTAAAACTACTGTTACTATATATATATATATATATATATATATATATATATATATATATATATATATATATATATATATATTTACGCCAATCGGCTTTATCCATTTATGTTATAATACAATTTGCAGTTATAATATATTAATTAATAGCACACTGAATGAATACAGTAATATGTAGAAATACAATACTATATCTATCAAATTTAATGTTTTACATCTTTGATAAAAATGTAGACGTAGAACCTCCAAAAAGATTGATTTCTGAACAGTACTTATTTACCAGGCTAACTATCCTGTTTTTAAGGCCTCGACATACGTGGTTTTTCGACGATTTCACTGCATTCAATAACAGATACGATCTCAAACCTGGTTTTGGGCATGTGAATTGGAATTGTTCCAATATCTCTGGGCAATCAATATGTCCATTGATAGTCTTATAAAAAAAACATAAGATCCGAAATTTCTCTCCGGTTTATCAGACTGTCGATATATATATATATATA